GGGAGGAATCTGGTGGGTGTTTGCAGGAAAGGTCTCCACTAGCCGCCAGTTGTACCCTAATTGATGGATGGAGGTGACTGCCATCATTTTCGTTTCTGGCGCTGAGATGCTCGTGTGTACTGTAGGATCAGGTTTGGGAATAGGATTCGCCATTTTCGTTTCTGGTGCTGAGACGCTCGTGTGTACTGTAAGATCAGGTTTGGGAATAGGATTCACCATTTTCGTTTCTGGCGCTGAGACGCTCGTGTGTACTGTAGGATGAGGTTTGACAAAAGCATGTTTGAGCCTCTTTCCGCTGAGTGTGTGCCAAAAGAATAAACTGGCACGGGCATTATTTTTGGCTGGGGCCGCCATTCGTTTTGCTCTGGTAGCTGACCCCCAAAAGTTGCGATGAGTACACCGTCGTGTTGGTGAAAAAAGGCAGGGAAACATACCGGTGTTTTTTTTTTCTTTTTTCACAAGGTAACAGGGCTCTTAGAGTATAACAATTGAGGTCGAGAATCCCTCAACAAACCAACCCGGAAAGAACAATAGAGCTTCTGGGAGCGGGTCACGCTCAGTATCAGGTGTTGGGATATAGGTCTATGGAGAGAGATGGGCAAATCCAGACTGCTGCCTTGACAATCCGCAACCCAAAACAAAACATGCTACCAGGGCCAACAAAGCCGCCCAATGCAAAAAGAAGCCAAAAAAAACAAGGAGCTATTCAAAAGAAAGGAGAAGGAGCAACCTATTCCCAATTTAACCAATTAATTCTCTCAAGGCCAAAAGAACAACCTCACGAACCTGACCAATACTAACCACCTATTAACCAATTAACAACAAAAGGAAGAAGGGGAGCTACTAATCTCCTAAAAGGCTATCTAAAACTAGTCTACTGCTAACGTGTCTACTTCAATTGAATCACCTATGGCGGTGATTAGCGTCGAGCCCCAGGCTCTGTATCAATTTTGGCGCTCCCTCCTTCCACCTCCCTTCCGCCTGTCTATTGCGATCGAGCATGCAACCGAGGACCCCAGGTTGGTAGGTCCTACCTAACCAACAAACAGCCACTCTGTTAAGATAAGTTTACCGTCTTTGGAAATTTTGGCCATTTTGTCGCAAAGACACCAGGTCTCTTTGAACCACTTCAGACCTTTCGAATTGATGTCGGAGTGTCGGGCTTTTTTTTTCCAATCTGCCAGTATAGCCTGCCTGAGGCCTTGCATCACTGTCTCATGAGTCTGCTTGGTGGACCAGTCCTTCATCTTAAATAACTGACAATTTCTCCCTTGTGAGTTGATTGATATTACCATCGTTCTCGTCACTTGAGCCACGTAGCCCCACCCTTCACCAAGTGGCAGATTTTCAGGGATACTGCTCAACAAACACCATTTTTTGTCCCATGTGAATATGCCTCCTGAGCAGGACATCCATTTCCCTTCCCGCCATTTCCAAACGGGCGATGAAGTAGGGCAGTCCCACCACAGGTGAACCGTGGACTCGAATGCCCAATTACAACGTGCACAAGCCAACTCCACTTTTATTCCATGTTTTATCAGCCACACCACTGAAGGGGGTGCCATCAATGAGAGAAGCCAAAGGGTAAAGGCTTGGAGTTGGTTCAAAATCAGTTTCAATTGTTTCCAGCATTTTTTTAAGTCAAAATCTACGGGTTTCGTCTCTAAGTTCAACAATGCCTGCCATCTTTCTGCGTGTATCCCTATTTTGACTTAAGTTTGACTGGCAGGACACAAGTCAGACTAAGTAAAGGAATGTGTATGCAAGCCATAATTTCAGTTTTGTTGTTTGACTGAAGGCAGATTGTGAACGAAGGGGTTGCAAATGGGGGAAGGGTGGGTGAAAGGTGGTTTTGCCTGAGGCTGACAGGGTCCTATGGGGTCAGACCAGTTCCATAAGATTGGACGGCCTAACCGCTGTGCTTTATTTTTGAATTGCATGGAGAGTCAGACCAGTTCCATAAGAGTGGACGGTCTGATTGCTCTGAATTGTGAGGGCGTGACTGTGGTCAACTTTTCAGGAGCCAAACATGTACCATAAGATTGGAGGGTTTAGTTGCCATGTTTGATTGGGGTTTGTTCTATTCCTTTTGTTTTTGATCAAGGAGGCGTGAGCAAGTCCATAAGATTGGACGGCTCAGCCCCTTCCTGTTTCATTCTGAGGGGGTAATTCTCGATGAGGGCAGGGCATGTCCATAAGATTGGACGGCCTTGGGCTCATGCCGCACACAATGGGATCAGAGAGAAACGAACCTGGCAGAGGACCAGATATGTTCCATAAGATTACGTCTGGCCCAAAGCCTCGCACATGTTGGAATCCAAAAGGTTAAATTTTGGCTATATTCTATACTATCCTATTTATGAACAGGCTAACCAGGCATGGGTTCTATAAGATTGGACGGCCTGGCTATAGCTTATCATGGAAAGAAGAGAGTATAACTAAGAATATAATTGAAGGTAACCTTGAGACAACCTGGGCCTTGTTTCTAAGATGAACGGCCCAGTCTTACGTCCATCGTTTGAACACTAAGTTCAGAGAGGTATATATAACCTGGATAGTAAACAGTTCAGGGCGGCTAAATCTTGCTTCTAAGATAAACGGCTTAGCCATATGCCCAAAGGAAGAGAGAAGTAGCTGTGAAACCCGTTCATGTATACTTGGTGGCTGAGTCAAGCATGTTCCATAAGATTGGATGACCTGACTTTACGCCTTATGTAAGTTGGGTATAAAAGGATAAAGCATTGAGAGATTACGAACTATTGTTTGCAAAGTTTGACTTGGGGTGGCAAGAGTACTTACCTTTGTGGTTTGGCCTGCATGTAACTGAGGGAGGCTATTACTTAGTGTGAGTTTCAGTTTGACAGGTAGTTGCTGTAGTTGCTCGCCACGTGCTAGAGCGATATGAGTTAGTTTCAATTTCTACATTTTCTGAGCTAAGTTTAATTTACTTAGAATGATTATCGCATTTTCTGGGATCTTTTATAATACTTGGCTTTGTATAAATTTTGGTACGCCACTTTCTTTACGGGAAGCGCTGCCGAAATTTTTGCAAATCCGAAGAGTTAGTCAAATTTTGACTTTTCAAAGTTCAACTTGTCTAAAATTCATAGATGATTTAGTAAAAATCTGGAAAGTCCCCTTTTCTAAAGGGAGGGCTGCCCAAATTTTTGCTAATTCAGGGAGTTAGACAAAATTGGACTTTGGAAAGTCAACGACTATCACTGTTTCATATTTGGGCTGATACAAATTCTGAAAAGATATTTTTTCTACGGGAAGCGTTGCCGAAATTTTTTTAGTTTAAAGGAGATAGATTATATTTTGACAGGTGACAATTCTGGTGGTCCACCCTAAATAGGTGAGATTCTGCCATTAGTCTACCTTTGCTTTGGGCACTAGCTTAGAGGTAGGCCTAGACTTAATTGGCAGATAATCTTAAGTAAAAATGTGTTTTGGAGTTTTATTCTCCATGGACTTATAGGTTAGTCTGGGGATTGGCCTGTTTTGTGTTACAGGTCCACTTGACCGTTTGATTCAGGAATTGGATTAGTTTCCGCTCGATCCTACGAGGATCATCTTCTGTTATCACTGATAACAGGCCGGTTGCTGATTCGTCGGTTTGCGATTCAACTCCAATCCACTCCTATTACTCAACCTAAAGGCTTTAGCCCTGTGGTTTGAATTGTTTCATTGTGTTTTCACCCGAACTTTATTGAATGGCCATTTAACTAAAGTACTGAGTATTTACTTTGGGGAGTTTCACAAGAGTGAGGCTTGTATGGCTAAAGCGAGGGGTATGATTGCGAGGAATGGTTGAAGTTTACCCCGTGTAGTGCGTGGACTTCTGGTTGAACCTTTGATGTGATTGCAAGTATGGTTGTGATTCGGACTTTGGATGTGATTGCCTGCGATTTCATATATATATATGGCTGAGAGGAGCCTCACTGTGACTGTGAGAAGTGATCGTCCTATATGATCAACCCTTACGTATTTATAAGTGCCCAGGGTATTTGAGCGGCCTACTGTAATTAAGCATAAAGGTTAACCAGATTGTGTCTTGAGAAAAAAGGGGGATTCCCTTTTTACCCTTGCTTTTTAGAGTTTGTATACTTGGACGTTGTAGTCCGTCGCAGCCGTCAAAGTCAAACCCCTTGACTTTTGCCCAGGCTAGGAGTAGGACTTACCCCAGGGCCGCAAGAAACGACGACCACCACAGGTATGGACTTGTGTACCACCCGCTATGCACAGAGTGCAGAAGAGGGTGTGTGGTCTTCAACCGCGCTTGGTGGTTGTCCAACGTCGAGAGATTAACCCTCAAAGTGCGTGTCAGCCGACACTTGAGTGTCGAATGCGACCCTCGAGATTAACGAGGACCGCATGATTACGGGCACTACATAGTACGCCATCATTGCGACTGCTTGCGTACGTTTGCATTGAGAGTCGATATGAGTTGGCCCTGCGTCCACGCGGTTTTATATCAGGTCTCGCGCGCGACGCCTATCTGATTTCCGCATCGGAAAGTTATGGGTTGGCTACCGAGGAGCCAGGAGCGTTGTCGCGTTTTTTGTGTTGTGTCGTGTTATATGTGTGTGTGTGTGTGTTTTCTTTTTGTGTTCATAAAGTGGTGTGCACGTGGTGTGTGGGATGCGTCCTAGCCGACTGACGACGAGCCGCGCTTGGGATTTCAGCCCCCCAAGATGTCGGTTCGCGTGCGGGTCCGATAGGCGTATTACCGCGCGTACCCCCTATGCTACAGCGAACGAGAAACGCCCTCGGCTGGTCCACCTCTGCGATTGCAACCGAGTAGCTTCCGTACTGTGGACAGGTAGCTCGGCGGGGATACGCCCACCGAAGGGAGGTGACAACTCCCGTAAGGTGGAGGTAAGTTGTGCCTCGCATAGGCCTTATCCTATCGTAGGGGCTCGCGAGAGGTATGGCTGGGGCACTCGGTCGGAGCGGCCTAAGGAAGCTTCATTTGCGCGTTCGTGACGAGATTGGTCCAACTCCTGCGTGACGCGGCCGAGAGGGTCCCACGCTGCCACGTGCAGTGCCGGATCGATGCGCCCGACAACGTAGCAGGCGGCGCTTGTCGTGCAACTACCCTTCTTTGGGCTTCCGCCCTTACTCCGCCAGAGACCTTACTATCAATATATTCCCCGAACTGATCATATATATCGCCGTTCATATTCACGTAGATCAGTCTCACTCTTTCATCTTCCCGTCTAGTATTGCAGAACCGTACGACATGACCTTGTTTGTCACAATGCCGGCATATGACGGTTCTCTGATCAAAACGGGTTCTCCCGCTTCCCTGGCTCCCTTGATTATCTTGATTTCCCTGACCCTGGTAACCTTGGCTGTCCCACTGACCTCCTTGACCACCGCCATTCCTGCCACGTACTCTTCCATCGCCTCTCCCTCCATTCCCCTGATTACCCTGCCCTTGATTACATCCACCAACCACACTACCTTGTGAACTAGGTGCGGGCGACGGAGGCGGCGCCATGGGTTGGGTGTGAGCGGCGGGATAACTTGGAGGCGACATACTTGCTTGGGGTCCAGCGTACGGTACCATCTGCCCATCGCCTAGCCTATACTTTCTCTACATCTCATCTTTGAACCGTGCCCAGCTACCATTGGCTGCATTTATAACTTTCTCCACCTCCTGGTGGTGGCCATGAAACACATATTTCAAAATGCGCTGGAACTTCACTGCATCCGATAACCCCACCAAAGCTTGCTCTACCAAGTCCAACCAATCAAAAACTCGTTCCCCATTAAAATGGAAGGTATCGACCTTGGGGACATTACCTGACGTCCTTTTCCGCGTTTCCATGACCTCAATGAGAACCTCGAGCTTCAGAACCTTCCCCTCGCCATCTACTATAACCCCTGACATCTCTGCGGGCTGTCTTTACTAACTTTCCCTTATTTTAAAAAAACATACCACCTCATTCAGCAGTCTGATCCTATCATATTCTACATCAGACCCCTACTATAACTTACCCAGGGTCCAGGCCTA